GTGTGTGTGGGTGTGTGTGTGTGTGTGTGCTTTGAATCAGTATGTGGCTGCCGTCGCATTTGCAGACGTGAGCCGTTAGGTAGTCACAAATCACTCTGATCTATTCCCGAACCTCCGCCATTATATATAGCATTATCCACTCTGCCACCCACTCGCCATTCTCTCTTTCACTCTCTCTCGTTCTCTTCTTCCTGGCACACTTAGTCTATTTTCTGCCTCCCCTCATCCAGTCCTCCAGCCTCCCGCACTCCCACACTCACTCCATCGGCCCGTGTTTGCTTCGGCCGTATATAGTACCGCTTCCTTGTTGTTTGTCTCTGCTCTCTTGACATTTCGCTTGTCATCTCTCGTATCCTTCCGTCGCCAAGAGTTCCACCCCACCAGTGTTTGACTGAACCCCCACCCGCCTCAACACATCTCGTCTTTTCCTGTGCCCCCCCCCTACCTCTGTTTTGCCTTCCATCACGTGTGATCACAGTATTGATTGCATGCTCTGGTGACAAGCACAGTAATGGACGGCCGCAAAAACGAGACAACAGAAAACGCTGGCAAAAACGAGTACCAGGAAAGGCACGAAAAAACCGAATAACAAAAAACGCTCGCACGAAGGCAAGGAGAAAAACAATCTAGTTGCAATAATAATACACACCGAGAATCACACTCCAAATACGAACTAGCGCACAAAGGCGAAATGCGAGAAGGTACTACGACACAATGGGCACAGCAGTGGCACGGTAAACAATTCTCCGGCAAGTGAAAACACGAAAGCCGGCCCTAATAAAGCCAGTGCCTGATTTCTAATGGGTAGCAGGTGTGCATCCGGCCGAAAACACCGTCTGCCACATGCACACCTAAACGGGACATGACAAGATGACTATTTAAGGACTCCCATGTTGTCATGTCACTGTCGGATAATTCACCTTGCTCACGACTGTTTCCAAGTGTTGAATTCGTCTAGACCTTCCATGTTCTTGCTCTTCGTTTTTGCTCCCGCCAGGTTTTCTGAACTTACCTTTGCAGCAGAGGTGATTGCTCTAAGACTGCAAGGGAAGCTCAGCTTCCCCTAAAATGTCAAAAAATAAGTGATCAAATATGTGTGTGTACATAAAATTGTGTGTACGTCATGACTAAATATGCGCTACAACGCGCTCAATTTTTGTTCCGAATCAGCTTCTTATTACTGGTTACGATGCGACTCTATTCTCATTCATTCCTGCAGCTTCACCGTGCTTTAAACTGTGTGGACGTTGAGCGTCTACATCGTGGACGCTGGGCGTCTTGAAATTTCTATGGACAGTGGGAGTTTATCGGCTGGCCCGGACGCTCAGCTTTTCTGCATGATGATTGAATGATCTGTCTGAGGCTGAATCTCTTTTTGATTGACAGCGATATGAGCCAATCACCGATCTTTTGGTGTAGGCATCCGTGGGAGCATTTTTCAATTCTCATTCTGTTCTGAGTTGAACTGGAGACTTCTTCTAATCATCTAAGCAACACTCTCTTTGTTGAGAGCGACTAGTGACGAATTAATCTTTTATTTCTGGTGGGTTTTATTGTAGTTGCTTGTGTTCGCAGACTGACTTATATCACCACAGTTAAGACCCTGGAAAAGACGCCTTGCTGGTATGACAAGGTCACAGATCATTTTCTTGAAAAGGAACGGAGAGTAGAATTCACGTCTAAATAAACGGACACATTTTATGATGTAGGCCGAAATTGAGCTTCCCCTCCTTGACAGACAAGCATCCGCCACCGCTTTATCTGTAGTTTTTCATTGTCGTTAGAGTCACGGCTTTTGTATTATACATGTTTGGGTTTCTTCATGTCCATTTATTGACAAGCGATTTCCGTTTGTTTTTATCCTTGCCTTTTTTGCAAGCGTTTTTGATTGTCTTGTTTTCCTAGCATTGTACCAGCATTCTTTGTTGAACTTTGCCAGTCTTTTGACCTTATAGAGGTTGCCGATACAAGCCACCGATACTGGCAAAACATTCGGACATTGAGTTTTTCTGCGTCAGAAAGAAAGTTCACAATTTTTTTGGTTATTGTGTTAAATACAATTTTATACATTTAAAGCACGAGAGGGGGCAGCACGGTGATGGAATGGTTAGTACGTCCACCTCACAGTGCAGAGGTTTGGGGTTCAATTCCAGGCTAAGGCCTTCCTATGTGGAGTTTGCATGTTCCATCTGTGTCTGTGTGGGTTTTCTCTGGGTATTCCGGTATCCTAACACATTCCAAAAACATGCATGGTAGGTTAATGGAACACTCTAAATTGTCTCTCGGTGTTATTGGGAGAGTGAATGGTTGTGTGGCTATGTGTGCCCTGCAATTGGCTGGCACCTGCGATTGGCTGGCTGCCCAAAGTCAGCTGGGATAGGCTCCAACGCGCCTGCGACCCTCGTGAGGAGAAGTGGCCTGGATAATGGATGGATGGATGAAAAGTACTTGAGGTATCGGTGCTCAGTATCGGTGAGTACTCAAAGAGTTTAGATTAGATTAGATATCCTTTATTTGTCCCACACTGGGGAAATTTACAGCCTTCAGCAGCAAGATTGTGGGTAGAAAGAAGAGAAAAGAAAACACAGTTCAATTAAGTGCAATATAAATACAAACATGGATAAGGTCAATAATTAAGTGCAATATAATACAATAGTCACAGTACTATTCACATATGTTGTCATATCATTTAAATAATTCTATGATTTATTTATTTATTCATTTTTTATTCAGCAGCCTGACAGCAGTCGGTAGGAACGAGCGGCGGTATCTCTCCGTCTTGTGAGTGACTACTCACACGGGTATCGGTCTGAAAAAAAGTGGTATTGAACATCCCTAATAATAATAACAAAATAATAATAATAATAATAATAATAATAATAACAATAATAATAATAATAACAATAATAATAATGATAACAACAGCAACAATGTCAATAACTCATTTTTTTCGAACAGCTGTGGTTTACTGTACAGTGGTACCTCTACTTACGAAATTAATTGGTTCCGGAAGAAATTTCTTCACAAGAAAATTTTGTAAGTAGAGATGCGGTTTCCATGTAAATGCCCTAATCTAGGGGTCGGGAACCTATTGATCGTGAGCCATATGTGGCTCTTTTGATGATTGCATCTGGCTCGCAGGTAAAACAAAATATTCTCGCTTGTTTAATCCATCCATCGATTTTTCACTGCTCAAGTCCTATTCAGGGCTGCAGTTGGAGGAGCAATTTTAATTGGATGATACTGGCCGACGTAGGCAGTTGCTGTGGAAACGGGTAAACGCCCCCTTTTGAATCAGACCGCTCAGTCATTAGCTCAAAGCTAATCCTAAATGAATAAGATGGTGAAAAAAAAAAGATGACGAGTATGGTACACTTCAGGACGAAGGATTCACCTTTGTGGAGAGAAGAGGATCTGCGATGGTTCTGATTTGCAATGACAAAATACCATCGATGAAACGGTCGAATGCAAAGAAGCACTTTGACACGCGCCATGCAACGTCCGCATCAAAATACCCTGCGAGAGACAGCGGAAAGGAAGCGTGCAAGCTACTGAACAGGGTGCAAGCTAGCCAGCAACAACTCCGCGTATGGACCCGGCAAGCTGACTATAATTCCGTTAGTTTTGCTGGATTTTCAGCAATTGTGAGGAACACAAAACCATTCACATTAATGGTGAGTATTATCACAAAATTATTTAAAACAATACAGTTGTATATACATACATACATACACACACACACACACACACACATA